TTTGAAGGTCATAGACTTCAATGAATTACCTTTTTCTTGCATATCTTCCTAATTTTTCTTAAAACGAAAATCATAATAAAACTAACTACTTATAGTCTAATCCAAAATAGTAAATTTCTTAAATTTAATTAGTCTTTTTTCGGAAACAGGGATTTTATTACAATACTATTACGTCTAGAACGAAAACGATTTTTACGTCCAGCTTCGACAATCAAAGAATTTGATTTCATATTTAACAGCAAATTTATACAAGTTGACGTGACGTTAAGTTTTTGACATAACATTAAACGAATTTTAAATGTCATTAATGTTATTAGTTATTATACAGAATTTGGTCGTTTTATTAATTTATAAACTTTAAAACACGCAGTTTTCGAAAAAATGTTGTTTGATACACAACAGCGAAATTCTTTTGCATTCTCGAACAATTTTCAACAACTTTTGTTCTCGAAAGTGTCATTTCGCTATCTTGTATCAACATTAAAGTCGTCATACTCCCCAGAAAATGATAATATCTCAGCTCCTGAAATGTAATTCAATGAATTTTTTAAACGAAGGATATTAGAAGTCTATATTATTTTAACATAAAATCATAATAATATAATAATTCGGGTGGTTTTTATCGATTCATAAACATGATTTTTACCTTCTTTTAATACTCACCTTTGTGGTCGACGTGGTTATAAGAGCACAAAATCAAATAAACATTAATAAATTACTTAATCGTAATTAAGTACANAGAGCTGATATCATAGCTCCTAAATGCAAAATCTCATTGAATTAAGGTTTGTATTCATAATGTGTCAGTTCCAGCGCCTCGCCCGCAAGCAACCTCGACGATAGTAGATTATATCATTTATTTGATGTCTTTTAGAACAAATTAAGCCATAAAACTTTAATTTGTCCTCATTTTGCCGAGAACGCTTGCGGGCTAGGCGCTGGAACCGATACATTATGAATAGAAACTTGAACTCAATGAGATTTTGCATTTAGGAGCTATGATATCAGTTCCACCGTCTGGCTCGAAAGCAATATCAGTGATGTTAGATAATATGGTTGATGTGAAGTATTAGAAAGTGAACTAAACGTACAACACGTGAATGAAAAATCGTTTGTAGTCGAATTTCTTACACTTGATTGTGACTATTTTATTCACAGATATACATTTATTATTACCTTACAACTATCTTGCTCGGACTCGACTCAGCTACGCTTGTCCGGTCACGTTGGCATCGTACCCTCTTTACGTCACACACATGCGCGCGCCCTACACTCCCGTTCTAAAATTATTAATTTATTTTTTTCCTCTTGGTATCTGGAAGGACTCTTCTAAACCTGGTGATGGTTTCTTCCTCTGTATTTTCAACACTCTGTTGCACTTCCTCGTTCAGAGCACATTTAAAGTTTTCACATACTCTGCTTTCGCGGTTACAACGCACTTCACATTCCCGGCTTTCACGCACTTCCTCCTTGCTTAGGCGAGGACATCTCTCCTGTTCCTTCTGATGTCCTGTCATCGGTGTTGATCCAGTATGACCTTTGGGGTGTTTGCTTTCTTGTCCATTGTTCCGTACTGTTTAGTATCTAAGATGTAGACTCTCTGATTTGGTTGGACTTCTTCCATTTTTCTAGCTCTATATCTTCGGTCGTAATTCTTCTCTCTCTTACGAATCTTTGATACACGTAATCATGATCAGATATATTCGGTATCAATGATTTTTCACTTCGGGGCAACGTAACTACTACCTTTTGTATACCAAATCGTGCAAAGATCTTTTTCATTTCCGTTCTCTTTTATTCACACAAATCTGTTGCAATTTCCTGCCACGGTAATCTTGGTGGTGGATTAATTATCATCGGTTCTATTCCTGTAGACCTGTTCTGAGCACAAATATCACAGCTATTTAGTAATTCTTTGATCTGTTTTGAAATGTGCGCTCACCAGACTATTGCTTTCGCTCTACTTATCCTTCTTCTTATTCCAAAATGACCTTCTTGAATTTTCTCCACTTGTAATAAATTTTATCTTGATATAATAGTGCTAATTCCTTGCTATATTTGAAATATGGAACGATTTCAAAATCCTTTATATTTTCTGGCCATCCGTTTTCTATAAATTGTTTTATTATGCTTTTCCTCCAATACTCCTCCAATTCCATATAAGCTAGCGTCTGCCAAAACTCTTGTCTCTGCGTTTACATTGTATGGTTTTAATATCGGTGCTGTAATCAACATATTCTTTAAGTGATTAAAACAACTTTTCTGTTGATCTTTCCATATAAACATGTTATTATTCTTTAATAATTCTTTTGAAGGTTTATTTATTTCAGCCATGTTTGGCAAAAACTTTGTTAAATGATTCACCATTCCTAAGAATTTTCTAAGTTCTTTTTTCATTTTCTGTTCTAACGTCAAGGTAAAACCTCGGCTTCAGCCTCTCTATTTGTGGCATCGACCTATTGCCTCTAATCATATCTCTAATCATCTAATCATAATTTTGTGACAATCAGTTTATTTTAGAGATGAACCCAAGTGGTTGTCAAATTCCACACATTTGTTTTTCGAAGGTAGCATTAATTGCAAAATTTAGAGAATATTGCAGAATAAGAATTATTTTCAAACATTTCTGCAGATAGGTCATTTAAGGCTGCTTAAATTTCTGTCGTTGTTAGTACAGGGTGGTTCAAATTCGATGTCCGAATAGGCTAACTCGAAAACTATAAGAGTCAGAAGAAAAGTAGCTGACATGTCATGATCTCGTTTTTCGAGAAACTGCTAATGCCGAAAACGTCATAGCGCTATCGTCTTTTGTTTTTCCGCTAGAGGCCAAAATTGAAAATATCGTAAAACCCGCAAATGTAATTATCTTGGTTATTATTATAGGTAGAGTATTATAACTAAGGCTTTATATGGACACTTTTTTACAGAGAATTTGATGACGTAGTCAAAAAAATTTTGTCGGTTTTAGATTTTGAGATATTATCACAATTTTGGTTTTTCTAAATGGAAGCAACCATTTAATAAATTCGTTATTTTTTTCTGATTACAAAAATATAGTGTTTGACAGATCTATTTCTTATTGTTTTAGAATAAAACTAAAAATAAACTTTTCTTTTAGTGTCGTCGAAGAAATTAAATTTACAGTTTCCTGTAAATTATGGTTCTATAACTAAAAATTAAAAAAACATATTTTTGATATTTGAAACAAATATATTTGTTGAACTGTTTAATCTATATATGTTTTACACAAAAGTTGGAATAGATTGCATTATTTCACATTTTTTATTACGATTTAATATTATTTTTAAATGACTTAATAAATTATCGATAGATGGCGCTCATATATATATTTTTGTAATTCAAATAAACATAGTAACATTTGTTTGTATTCAAAAAAATTTTTATAACATGTTAGAATGTTACATATTAAAAAATGATTTGTTTTTAAATACCAGAAGTTATCTTCGTATTTAATTGTTAACTTTTTAGATTTTACCTACCGCCCCGTAACTTACAGGAAACTGTAAATTTAATTTCTTCGACAACACTAAAAGAAAAGTTTATTTTTAGTTTTATTCTAAAACAATAAGAAATAGACCTGTCGAGCCCTATATTTTTGTAATCAGAAAAAAATAACGAATTTAATAAGCCAATAATCAGTGGTTGTTTCCATTTAAAAAAACGAAAATTCTCATGATATCTCAAAATCTAAAACCGAAAAATTTTTTTTGACTATGTCATGAAATTCTCTGTAAAAATATAATGTCGTAGTTATAATACTCCACCTATAATAATAACCAAGATAATTGCGCTTATTGGTTTTACGATATTTTCAATTTTAGCCTATTCGTACATCGAATTTGAACCACCCTGTACAGTATAAATACAAGGAGAGTATCTAAAAAATGATAACACATAAAATCATAATAATATAATAATTCGGGTGGTTTTTATCGATTCATAAACATGATTTTTACCTTCTTTTAATACTCACCTTTGTGGTCGACGTGGTTATAAGAGCACAAAATCAAATAAACATTAATAAATTACTTAATCGTAATTAAGTACANCAAGGTCAAAATTTGAAGGTCATAGACTTCAATGAATTACCTTTTTCTTGCATATCTTCCTAATTTTTCTTAAAACGAAAATCATAATAAAACTAACTACTTATAGTCTAATCCAAAATAGTAAATTTCTTAAATTTAATTAGTCTTTTTTCGGAAACAGGGATTTTATTACAATACTATTACGTCTAGAACGAAAACGATTTTTACGTCCAGCTTCGACAATCAAAGAATTTGATTTCATATTTAACAGCAAATTTATACAAGTTGACGTGACGTTAAGTTTTTGACATAACATTAAACGAATTTTAAATGTCATTAATGTTATTAGTTATTATACAGAATTTGGTCGTTTTATTAATTTATAAACTTTAAAACACGCAGTTTTCGAAAAAATGTTGTTTGATACACAACAGCGAAATTCTTTTGCATTCTCGAACAATTTTCAACAACTTTTGTTCTCGAAAGTGTCATTTCGCTATCTTGTATCAACATTAAAGTCGTCATACTCCCCAGAAAATGATAATATCTCAGCTCCTGAAATGTAATTCAATGAATTTTTTAAACGAAGGATATTAGAAGTCTATATTATTTTAACATAAAATCATAATAATATAATAATTCGGGTGGTTTTTATCGATTCATAAACATGATTTTTACCTTCTTTTAATACTCACCTTTGTGGTCGACGTGGTTATAAGAGCACAAAATCAAATAAACATTAATAAATTACTTAATCGTAATTAAGTACAAAAAACTTATATTTTATATCCATTATCCAAACGGAAATGAATTAAAGAAAGTTAGCTAAACACCTACATTTTAATTTTTTAGCTTTCACTTAATACGAAATGCAAAAAAATAATAAAATAATTTGATAAAAAAGTTAAAAATACGGAATTCCTGATATTATTATTTCTAAATTTCTTTTAGCACAAAAGATATCCACTTTAGCCTTCCACCGTTAAGAAGTTCTTCATTGGGCGAACTTCAAGATAGCGATCACGGCGAATCAGACGTTGAAACGGAATCGTTGTTATTACCAGCGAGTTGTAATCAAAGATCGAATTCCTTCAGTGAGTATTTCAAACTTGAAAAAGTATCTTTAATTCATTAAAAATTTCTCCGCCCTAAATCTATAAATAAAAAAGGAAATTAAATTAAATGTATTCGAAGAAATCCTCTCATTGTCAGTGAAAGTTTTCAAAGAATTTGATTCATAAATTTATTTAAATTAATTTGTTTAGGTTGTTATGGTTTGGGAGTTATTGAACCATCTCTTTATAAAAGCACTTTGGATTTAGATGAGATCCAATGGCCTGAGGGTCACATTGGATGTCTTTGGTTCTCGTTACGATATGAACCATCAACTGAAAAACTTTTGGTGTCTCTTTTGAAGGCGAAAAATTTACCGTCGAGAAGCTTGGGGACGGTGAATAGTTGCGATCCTTTTGTTAGGTACGAAAAATACAAAGTTTAACTTGTGACGTAATTAAAATAAAAAATTTTATTAATTAGGTTGCGACTTTTACCAGATGAACGAAGATATCTTCAATCGAAACAAAAAAAGAAAACTTGTAATCCATATTTTGACGAAACTTTAGTTTTTCAAGTAAGTAACAAAGTTTTTTTATGTTTATGTGAGAATTTTTTTAACTAAAAGTATCTTACATAGAGAATTTCTCACATAATTTTTTTTAACACGCAACAAAGATATTATGCAAATTATTATTATTCTCGTCTACTTTTATATTATACTTTTATGCAGTTTTATTATACACCTTTTATAGTTTTGAAACGATAACAACGTCGCGTTTGGGTTTAAATTTAAGCGAAAATCGATTTCAGATCCGGTCGCTCCTCGTAAATCTCCCCACTTTTATATCTTTTTCCTTTTTTTTTTTTAATACTTTATTCCCCTATTTCTTTCCACTTTACTTCTTCTAGATGCTAAGTTAGTGTATATTAAGGTTTCAGCCAAGGACATGTCCGATCACATCCTAAAGCTGACAGTAATCGATGCTGGAAGGACAAAGAGAAAAGCGGAAATCGGCCACATTTTGTTTCCGTTGAAAGATCTTGAAATTGGTGACGGAAACGAACAGCAATTATTCAAAATTGATTTAGAGAAAGTAAATTTTGATTTATAATTAAATCCAATTGGTTAATAAAATTTAATGTTAACAGGAAATTCAAGAGAATCAATCGGATCTTGGGGAATTGCTAATTTCTTTGGTTTATAATGAAAATTTGAATCGATTAACCGCAACTGTCATTGATGCAAGACGATTAAAGGTAAGTGAATTAATTAATTTTTTTAATTAATTCAATTTTAAAAATTATAGTTTACTATCGCATCGATTTTTCATTTGATTGATGCATATTTTTAAATTTGCTATTGTTTGATAGATGTCGCAACAACCTTAAACTTTTCTTCAATTAATGCATTTCCATGCTTTATTCACACAAAGTTACATAAAATTTGCTCTAAAATTAATTTCTAAGAATATAAGTATGAAAATTTCCCAAAGTGTTAATAAAAGTGTCCTCTTTCCAATAAACCAACCCGTTTTGAAAAATAACTTTTAGTTTTTGAAAAAACAATATTTGAAATTTTGAGAATGACTTTTTTTAGCTATTTCAAAAATAAATTCTGGGGCAATCAAATTTTGTTCTGGGCTTAAATATCGTCTTCTATTTGCTGGTTCCAGTAAATTAGCAGCTGTATGTATCGGTTTTATCGATTTATTCATTCTTGACATTAAAATACTTTTAATTGTGTCCTGCTCATCTTGAAGTATCGATGTTGATAATAATTGTCGTGATACAGCAGCTTCTATTTCCAAAAAGGCATCGAAAACCTTTGATATTGTAGGAGCATTTGCTTCAAAATATTTAATCCAAGTCCTAGATTTAATCCAAGATTTTAAGCGCTCTCATTAGCTAAGAATTGGATACATTTATGTATCGGATAAATTTATCAGGAGGTGATAAAAGTGGGCCTTAAACTTATTAGTCCAGATGTGAGGTTAGAAGTTTAGTGAAAAATGGTGTTGTTGAATTTTGTTGTTCAAAAAGGTATCTCTTTGATAAATGGTTATTAGGTGTGATTATTACAGATCATTTTAAAGAAAAAACTTTGAGCTTTAATTTAGAACAAGTTTCATTCCTTAATTTCAATAAACACGGCTTCCAGGAATTTTTAAATTAGCATCTTTTTTGACACTTTTAGGTTATACGAAAATGTAAGTTTTGTTTCAACATTTTTTTTCTCAATATTTTTCCAATCCAACCCAACAATTATTATACATC